TAGTTTAAATACTTTTTCAATGTGAAGGAAAAATACATACAAAAAGATCTTATAATTTTTGTTTTGTTTTAAAACTTTTTTAATTCAACTGTTAATGAATTTGAGCCAAAATAAGCCACACATTTATCCCGTTGTCTACAGTTGTCTACATTTATTAATTAACATATGGGCTATTAATTGCTTAATACACTTAATTACAAACAAATCAAATTATTTTGTCGGGGTGGGGAGGGGACAACCTATATACATTATTATTAAGGCTTTGTTAATCAATCTACAAAACTTATTTATTGACTTTTATAATGAGATAAAAATAACAAATTTTGAAAAACTAATTTTATAAAATCATTCATTAAAATCACTAATCAATCACATATTTAATTGTCAAAAAGTGTTGACAAAAAATAAGTTTCAATATTTTTCCAATCGTTATTTAAATAGAAATTATTTGTAGTTATATTCTACTGTTTATTGTAAAAGATTAAACTATATTTTCGTAACAAAATTTTTTATTTATTTAATAAACAAATGAGAGAGAGAGAGAGAGAGAATATGAGGAATATAACTTATAGATAATGATAATTAATTGAAACAAATTCAATGATAAAATCGGACTCTTTTTCAAAATATTCAAAAATTTATCGCAATTTTAAAATCAAAGTCTTTGTAGCGTAAAAATCGCCACCTCTTTGACGTACACTTCTCTTCCATTACTATTGTATTCAATAGATTTTTGCTTATTTTTATCTATAGTGTTTTGTTAAAACCGTAAACAGTATTGAACACAAAATCAGAGAGAGAGAGAGAGAGAGAGAGAGAGAGAGAGAGNCTCAAAAAGGTCTCTCTCGCACTGACTCTCCTCAGGGAATCCCAACCCCCAGCAAAACCCAAAGAGAGGACAGGGGGTCGTGCGAGAGAGAGAGAGAGAGAGAGAGAGGAACAATCAACGAGTTTACGCCAATCATTATTCTTTATTCAGTCCCTCTTCACTAAAAAAGGGGCAAAATTTTTGGTAGTGTTTAGTAGTATTAAAAACAGACCTAAAAAATATGAGCAAAAAATTTTTAGATACGCTTTGATTAACTTATGTTTTTCTATTTGTGTTGCAATTGATTTGTTAGTCTTTAGTCTCAAAGATGCTCTCATAGAATCTTTGTATCAAAAAGAGTATATATTTTTTCTACAAACATATAAAAAACTTTTTTACTTTTATAGGATATATTGTACTGACTTTTGTATCGCAAACACACATACAATAGTGTAGATTCTGTTTGTGAAAAAGTTTTGTATTTTTATCGATTTTCTCATTACTAGAGAAATGCATTTGTGATAAAATTCATTATATGATCGGATTTTTAAAAAATGTTTGTCATATTTTAAATGCTTAATTTATCATATGTTTTATCTAATACTTAATTCTTATATTTGTATTATTCGTATAGTTTTTGGTGCCCTCTATTCACACCCTTGTATTCACTCATCACTTGAGAAAATCACCACAAAATTGATCCGACAATAAGTGTATTGAAGACAACACAGACTCTGTTGTTCATCAAAAGACGAGATACAAGAATAAACACCAATAGATTGTGTGTTGTGTTGATCACCAGCTAATGGTTGTGGTGACCACTTGTCCGTCAAATAATTACCAATCGTCGGACGTCACGACAATTGCATCACTTGCCCCACACGCCGGACACACAACACACTGGGACTGTATGCCCCTGGTATGTCATCCCCAAACATTACCTTGTTCACTTTCTCTAATTACATAACATATTATAATATAATAGCAAATTATGCCATATTATGGCAAATAAGAGAATAATTAGCACGTTCAATTACTTTAATTTATTACTTTTTAAACTTAATAATTCTGTCAATTATATTAGTGATTATACTGTACTACGGTAATATTTATTTAATAATTGTACTAGTTTACATACTATTCGTATAGTAAGGTAGTTGGGGTACACTATATTTACACAGATATACAGAATCTAATGGCAAACTATAGTTAACTACTCGTTAGTGTGGACTTTAAAATAATTTAATGATTGTGATTTTGTGAACGCAAACGTTATTTTAATAAAATCAGTGTTTAATCTTAATTCAAATACTAAAAGGGGATCCGCACAGCACTCGACCCCCAACTCTTAGCCCACGCTTAATATGTTTAATATAGTTGTTTTCGGCGGAGATTATGATCAGCTTTTCGTCTCTAATGTATTGCATTATTCTCTGCGTTTAATGAGTAAAAATTATTTTTAGATTACATTTTTTAATATACTCTTCAAACTATAACTGTTTGTTAAAAAGTTAAAAACGTTTTGAAAACAATTTTAGAAATTAAGCAAAAATTACGGCATATATTTAGGCTTACATTAATGCAAAAATTTACTGCATCTCAGCATACTTTAGCGATGGTGTATTAAAAAACAAACAAGATTATAATATTTCAAAATCTAAGACTAAACTAATTCTTGAGCCTAAAGTACGGGTCGTTTTTTTCTATGAAACAGTATATCTTCTCAGCAATAGTTTAAATACTTTTTCAATGTGAAGGAAAAATACATACAAAAAGATCTTATAATTTTTGTTTTGTTTTAAAACTTTTTTAATTCAACTGTTAATGAATTTGAGCCAAAATAAGCCACACATTTATTCCGTTGTCTACAGTTGTCTACATTTATTAATTAACATATGGGCTATTAATTGCTTAATACACTTAATTACAAACAAACCAAATTATTTTGTCGGGGTGGGGAGGGGACAACCTATATACATTATTATTAAGGCTTTGTTAATCAATCTAGAAAACTTATTTATTGACTTTTATAATGAGATAAAAATAACAAATTTTGAAAAACTAATTTTATAAAATCATTCATTAAAATTACTAATCAATCACATATTTAATTGTCAAAAAGTGTTGACAAAAAATAAGTTTCAATATTTTTCCAATCGTTATTTAAATATAAATTATTTGTAGTTATATTCTACTGTTTATTGTAAAAGATTAGACTATATTTTCGTAACAAAATTTTTATTTATTTAATAAACAAATAAGAGAGAGAGAGAGAGAGAGAGAGAGAGAGAGAGAGAGAGAGAAGATTGTCGAAAAATCCACTGTTCAATGATATTTTCAAAGCATTGCTGTATTTTATGTGTGTTTTTGAAAAATGTTTTCACAAAAAAATGTTTGAAAAATATAAACTTATTTATAAACTGGAAGCTAATGAACACATGAGAAAAAGCGGAGTTAAAGTAATACCTATTTATAAATACCCTTTTCATATATAGTTTGGGACTTTTGCCAAAATATCTCATTTTCACTGAGTATTCATTTTCCTCTCTCCTTCTCTATAACAGTATTTGTCTTTAATTTGATTTAATTTTTTATTTTCCTCTTTTGCTTTTGGGATATTAAATTAGAGTACATTAATGAGAGCAATACATTACACTTAAATGTTATATTACTTTCATTTACATCACGTTCATTCAACATATTCTTCAATTTTGATAGCTTTTAATGAATATTCTTGAACTGCCATTCAATTAATTAAACTTAAATTCATTCACTTGTTGTTCAACATGTACTGTAGGATAATAGCAATCGTAACTAACATTACATTACATCGTGTGTTTTGAATAACAAAATATATACAAAATTTTATACAATCTTCAACACAGAATATTCTATACACTATAATCATAATTTGGATAATAACAACAAAAATAATGATACATTGAATCTAAATGTTGCAGGATGAATTTCATCCATTTATTGAGGCACTGTTGCCTCACGTCAAGTCCTTTTCGTACACGTGGTTTAACCTGCAGGCGGCCAAACGCAAGTACTTCAAAAAGCATGAAAAACGTATGACTTTGGATGAGGAGCGCAGGTGTAAAGAGGAACTACAGGTTTGTATCAATTCCTGCATCCATTACTCACATAATCATTATTATATCCGCGTTTATCACTAGATATTTGTTGCCATACAAAGTGCAGCCATATATTATTATTATAGCATATTCTTATCGCTTATTAATACATGAGGATTATATAAATAGATGTTTTACCAGAATATTCTTTATTGCACATTACAAAAAAGTTTTATAGTAAAGTGTTTTAAATAAATAATAGGCAAAAGTTTTGGAAATTACCATATATTACCTGATATTAACCAAGTGGTCAAATAAAATTTGATTTGGACTTTATAGATACTGTATTTTATTTTTCATTATTACCATGAGTGATTTACAAACAAAAAACTATTTGTAATTTTGGAATTATAACAACTTTAGTAATTAAATTAATTAATGCATAATTGAAATTAATTTAGATTTATAATCACATAAATTTAATTTCTGATAAAACAGAGCCTATAAAATATTTTCAGTAAACACTTTGTTATATAGGATTAAAAATAGAGACACTTTAAAAACACAACAAATAAAATAGGGTTTAGTCTTTACCGGTAGAGAAAACGCTAACACTTTCTTCATTTATTAAGTTCTCTCTCTCTCTCTCTCTCTCTCTCTCTCTCTCTGTCGTTTCATTTCAAAAATAACTCATCACTTCTTTTGACGACAATTTTTTGTTACTTTTTAAAAAATCTACAATAGACTGTTTTTTGTATGTTTTTTGCGTTAAAAGTTTATTTTTAAACTTTTAACGCATAAATAAATTATGTTATTATGTGTTTAAATGAATGTTTTTATTATTATTACCATATTGTAAGTTTTGTTTAGCTCTCTCTCTCTCTCTCTCTCTCTCTCTCTCTCTCTCTCTGTCGTTTCACTTCAAAAATAACTCATCACTTCTTTTGACGACAATTTTTTGTTACTTTTTAAAAAATCTACAATTTTTTGTTTAAAAACAGAAAAAATAACTTTAAAAATATATTTCAAATATTTATATTTAATACAAAAACTGATAAAAAACACTAAATATGCCTTTTATTGGATAAGAACTAAAACCATAAGAAAGTTGTGAACAAATTTTTTATTTGAGTTAAATTCCTGAAAATCATAGCCAGAGGTCTCGTATTACACACAGGAATAACGTTAATAAAAAAAAGTAATCATAAAATAAAATAATATTTGTTATAATAAATAATATGCGGGAGAAGTGGTCGGGGGAGGGGGCACAAAAACGAACATGGTACAATACCTTATCGGCCTGTCTGAGGCAATCAATCCGTCTCATTTTGCCTTTTTGATCCGGATTACTGAGCACACAATTGACACGTTTCTTGCCAGTGATTCCCAGCACAAAGTCCTCTCTGCACTCCTGAGTGATGTCTTTCCGCAGTTTCCCCAACAGACGAGACGCCCATTTCTGCTTCACTTCCAGTCTTTCATTCTTCAGATCCCGAAACAAATGGTTAAGAATTTTAACGCTTTTTAAAAACTATTTTTTGCTTTTTCTACAAAAATTGTTTTTCGAAAATTGTTTGCCTTTTTTCGGTTAATTCATTTGTCGCTATTTTTCGCGATAAATATTTTGTTTTTCTGGTTATTATTTATTACAATTGAAAGGAGAGAGAGAGAGAGAGAGAGAGAGAGAGAACTGAAAAAATTTATAAAGAATTAAAAGTTCCCTAAAAATTATATTTAATTCTCGTATTTATATTTTGAAATACATTTTTGTTTTAAATTACATCTTTTGACTCAACACTAAAAATAGAATTTAGAGAAAAATAAGTTAATTATTAATACAGACGTAAAATTGTGTTAATTTGTGGCATAAGTATAACCTTTTTCTTTCTCTCTCGCCATCCCTTATCCCTTCGCATCCATTCATTTTGATGGCAATCCGCGCCACAACTCAATCATCAAATGCCGTTCCCATAAAAGGTATGGCGTCTGGATTTAGTTATGGTTATACTATTCAAAGCCATACCATTGGAGTCGACTGATGGCGAGCGGCTCGAGAAGTCCATAGAGTGTCTCCATCCGAGCCTTTGTGTCAATCCCTATCACATCAACGTTTCCGTCCGCGAACTGGACCTATATTTGGCTAATTTTATCTTCAGTCACGGTATGAGACAATTACGACATCAAACTAAATATGATTTCATTTTATAATTAACTCAAAAATGCATACATTATTGAGTACGGAATCTAAACCATAAGCATATAAACCCAGATTACTTTTCACTAGATTTACTCATTTAGATATGGTTTTCAACTAAATATATCACTAAATATCTCTCTTGAAAAGTAATTAAGGTGGAATTGTGAATTTTTAAAAGTTAGTGAGCTAAATATTAAGGAATCTAGCCTTTATTGTAAACATTTAATTTTTAAATACATCAAGTTTAGGAATCATTACGTCTGTAACATAAATAATTATATGTAAAATTTAGTTGAAATTTAATTTAGTTGAGAACCGCATTGAAATCAGTAAATCAATCAAAATATTAAAATTATAAATAATCATGGCCATATTCTGGTGCCTGTCATACGTTATGATTTATGAATATTGAAGATCTATAATTATTGCTAAATGAGTGACGAGTGTTATTTGGATATTTATTATGCCCATGCACAGTTTGTGTTTGAATAGATCTGGAGTATTATAAGTTATAATTTATAATATTTGTGTTTAAATATTATGCAGGTTTTTAATAGCATAAACTTTTTTTATTTAAATACTGCATTAATTTAAATCTTTGGTTTTATAAAAACCTTGATTTAAATGCATTTAAAATTTTTGTTTTACTTGAATAACAGGGAAATTATTTTTACGAAAACAAAACCCAATTATAAATTTCTGGTTATTATAAACACTTTTTCCTTAAATATTAATGATTTAAATATTTTATTTTAAATAATAACAACAAAAAGAACTTATTTTAACGTTAATGCAGTCTTGAGTTATGGAATATTTCTAATAATATGTTAATTAGTTATAATCAACACAATATCCGTTAATCATTATTATTTCAATTCTGGGATTTAATAATTAAATTTTATATTTTATTTATTTTCAAACCATAATCTCTTAAGGCTTTGATTCAATTAGTAATTACTATTTTTGGCACTAAATTAAAAATAATTATGGTTGAAATGAATCATTCCTACCATCACCACCTCCAATTCCGCCATCACCACCACAACCACCCTGGTCATCTGGCATTCATACATAACTCGATCATTCATTTTTATTTCAGTAATTCGTGTGTTAAAGGAATTCATGTTATTTCAAAGACAATAAAATCCTTACAATTTGTGTATTGAACGCGTCTTTTGAAACATAAGTTTTTACTGTTATTTATAGAAAGTTAGCTCTAGTTTAGAGAGAGAGAGAGAGAGAGAGAGAGAGAGAGAGAGATTGTCTTATAAAACAAAATGATTGAATTACAATACAATGCGTTTCAAAAATAATCTAAATTTACATTTTCATCACATGTTTGTATCGTATAGTTATGTACTGTTGGTGTATATAATGGGTGTACAGAATGGGAGGATTCTGTACACTGAGAAAAACAGGTGACTCTTATCTCATAGTCTTCTGTGAACACACTTTTAATGACTTTTGACAATAAATATCTTTTAGACTGTTTTTTGTATGTTTTTTGCGTTAAAAGTTTATTTTTAAACTTTTAACGCATAAATAAATTATGTTATTATGTGTTTAAATGAATGTTTTTATTATTATTACCATATTGTAAGTTTTGTTTATTAAACAAAACTTACAATATGGTAATAATAATAAAAACATTCATTTAAACACATAATAACATAATTTATTTATGCGTTAAAAGTTTAAAAATAAACTTTTAACGCAAAAAACATACAAAAAACAGTCTTTCTCTCTCTCTCTCTCTCTCTCTCTCTCTCTCTCTCAGATTCCCATTAAATGCTTATTTTACAGAATATTCTATTATTCTGTAAAGTCATGGAATTTTTTAAAAGATAAATTATATTTGGGTTTTGATAATCTATTCAAACAATTAAAATCATAACTAACTTATGGTTTATTATACCGTAAATACACTATTAGTGTCATTAAAATTAACGAGTGATTGAAAATATCACAACTTTTCAAAAGAATTTTAAAACAAAATAAAAAAATCAAAATCAAATGGTTTTTGCAAACAATAAAATATTTATATAATAGACAACCAAATGATTGTAAAATTTTGTTTGTGTCTAACTTTGTAGAGCAATTGCGAGGCATTCACGAGACATGTGATAATGAGAGTGAGGATGATATGAATGTTAATATATCGAGACATCGAGAAACCAATAATGCAAATACACTGTTAGCCACTGGGGTTTTCACTTCAGCCGAACTCTACCGGCTCTCGAAAGGTATGGCCGATTCTCGTATACCTTTTTAGTTAATGTCAGTACCAATCATGTCGTCAGTACTTTATGTTACTTTCATTTTGTCAGATACTATCAATGTATCGCTAGTACGAAAACCCCGTTATTTTTTACGTTAACCATTTTATCATCATTATTGCCATAATTAGATGTATTACAATATTTCATTACATGTTTTCTCTATTCTTCTTATATTAATATTCAATCATTGCATTTAGTGAATGTATTTTACATTAAATACTGCACTAAAACTACACTATAATTAAACTATTTTATTAATATATGACACATAAGGCATACAATGCAATAAATTAACTAAAACTATACTATTTTACTACTGAAACTGATAGCGTCTATAATCCAACCGCAATCGCCAGGACTGCCACATGTGATAAAACTGGAGCCAAACGTCGGCTCATATTATTGCAATAACTATTCGCCGGACGATCCGAACGATACGTTAGCCGTTTCCATACCGGTGTCGAGTCTGTCGTCGGGCGCCGGCAACGCCTCCATTATGACCAGCGCCGGACACAACACACACCTAACCATTAGCCACACGGCCTCCACGTCTAGTCCGGGCAGTGATGTCCAGCACCAACACCCGCACCATCAGCACAACAGCAAACGCCAGCGAC